GCCTAGAGCTCTTTGTTCACAAAAAAATTAAAAAAAAAACCTTTAGTAAATAGAAAGCTTAGCAAATTGCTTAAGAACTCCGTACTGATTAAGAAAATGTCGATTATTAAATTTTTCTTAAGCATGATTTTGTATGGAGTTTTTTTAGATCTTGGGATCTGCGTACAACGCTTAAAACTTTAAAAAGGAATGCTACTACTGGTTACGATTATCCTTAGATTTTCGACAATTTTCTAATTTCCAGCGTTGAAGATTCCGATGTTATTCGTCAATCTAAACGAACGCCACTATCCAATTTGTATAAAGAATCGCCCGCTGATTCCAAAAATCGAGCTAATTTTTTATTCTTTGGATACGTTTTCGAGATATTTGCAATTTACCGGTATTCAGCTTAAAACAAACTTATATCTCATGAACCAATTTAACAAACCTACAATGAAATGCGGCAAATGAAAGCTACCAAAATTTTCGATAAACCGTCTATACAGTCCGATAGGACTGATAGTTTCGGACAAATTAATTAATCACTCCAGTTTCTTTTGATGGAAAAAATAATATTTTAACAGCAGAAAAATTAGAAAACTAACAGGTTCTGTGTCAAATTCTTGCAGTTGGGCTTAAGCCTGTTCTTAAAAAAAATGAAGGTACTAAATAATGAAGCAAATCGATTGATAAATAAAGAAGTAATGAGCGGTCAAATGAAAATGCCCAAAAATCTTTTGTATGAGAAATGAGCAGGAAATAATGTTACTCATATGTACGGTGACCATATTCATGGGATCCGAATATGGGACAAAAAATAATTTTGCAAATTCGTTAAATTTTAGTATAATAAAGTTTAATTTTGATATCGCTAAGACATTTTTGGCACTTTTTTTGTTGACGGTGTAACGCAGTTTTTCTTAAAAAGTAAGTATGTATCTATGTTCGACCATTTTTTTTTAAGGGAGAAGCAAATGAGCAGCACTTTCCACTCGCACTTTATTATACTAAATTTTAAGGAGCTACAAAACTGCAAACCAATTTTTTTCTAAACATTCTAATTAAAAAGTTTTAAATTTTGGTGAAACATTGCAGAATTAATTTTTATAGTTTTTTGCACAAAGTCAGAAATTTGAATTTATATGGGTTTTTGTTATGAAAAGAGCTTTACTTTCATAAAAAATAATAAACATTAAATAAACTAAAGATAAATAGCCAAACCTTGCTAAGATGTCGGTTCCTCATTTATATTTTGGTCACTGTATGTATTCCTCGAATCGAATCACAGGCACTCAGATTAGAAAATAATAGCTGTTTATGGAGAAAATTACGATCATATACCAACATCACTTAAAACTGGTTCAAAGGCATGCAATTTTAATGAGCTGTTAAGGCGTCAAAATAACCAACACCGAACACGGGGCAAATAAAGGACGTTAAATGAAATACAGAACATTTGGCGTCCCGTATAAAATAAATAAATTACCAGGACAATGGTCACAAAAAGAGGACTGTCCCGTATAATACAAGACGGAGGGTCGCCGTACTCGTACGCTTTTATGCTCATATTTCATACCAAAAAAAAATTTATTTTATTTATTTATTTATTTTTCTTTATTGATCCATCGATTTTATTCATTAGTAACTTGATTTTTTTGTAACAGAACGGGCGTTAGCACAAATTTGACACAGAACCTGCAATTTTTTGAATTTTTCTTTTGTTAAAGTGTTTTTTGCATATTTACATAAAAAAAAAGTCTGGAATGATTAATTAATTTGTCAGAAACTATGTATCAGATCTATCGAAAAGTGATGTATATACGGTCAATCTAGAATTTAGTTAGCTTTGATTTGCCGTATTTCATATTAAGATTGTTCAATAGATCGTAAGATATATGTGATTAAGTGTAACCACCTTTTGTTTTAAGCTGAAAAGCGGTAAATTGAAAATATTTTGAAAACTTATCCATAGAATAAAAATTAAGTCGATTCTCGGAATCAGCGAGCAATTCTTTATAGGAATTGGATAGCGGCATCCATTGAACATTTTTGCTGTAAACCAGTGTAATCAAAACCAAAGGTTTGTCTCTACGGGAAGGCATTGGTATCATTGAAGAGATTAAAAATAACACTGCAGGGACACTAAAATTATACAAGAATCACCGAAAGACGTAAACCTACTTCCTTATTATGTATCACGAACGATTGGCAACACGAACGATTCGTCTGCAGACCACGACGTCTCCGATTGCGATTTTATTACTCTATCGGTCGTCTTCGTCTTGCTTTTCATCGATTACGTTGCAATCGACTCGGTTGCGTTTAAACCGGCTAGAATGATACCGCCGGACAAATTTTTGAAGCGTTCCTCTATAAATGAATCGTTCTTGTTGCCTATCGCTCGTGATACATAATAGGTCAATTCATCTAACCGCGTAAATGCCTCGTGACAATGTAAACCAAGTAAACTTACTTAATTTTGTATGGAAAACCGTTTCATTTACGAGGTAAATAAATATAGGTAAATAAAAGGGAAACAAATTAAAACTAAATGATTTTCGTAAATTCTTTTATTTTTTGTTAAAGTATGTTCTTTTAAAAAAACATCAAGCTATAAAGGAAAAAATTGATTGATAAATAAAGTTGTAAATGGTCAAATGAAAGTGCGTAATAATTTCTTTTTTAAGAAATAAGACTAGGAAAGAATGTTACTCATACGTACGGTGACCATCCGTCCTTTATTTTAAAGGATAGTCCTTTATTTTTACCCCCTGTCCTTTAAAATTTTTTCAAAATAAAGGACGCTTTTTGTGCTTTATTTCTTAGACTGTCCTTTATATCAGCTCTGCATTTTTGAGAAGTAAGTTTTTAAACACAGAATATGAAAAATAAAAATGTCCCTTATAAAATATAATGAAAACCTTCGCCAGTTTGTTTCACACTCCACTTAAGGGTTCTATTTAGTCGGTAATCTTTGTACAATCTATAAAGCAAAAGGAAAGTTGTGCCCAGAATCGTGTTGCACGCTGAGTTTCCAGTTTCACTGAAAGCGAACAATAAAGCCTTACTCACTGGAGCCTTAATTTTTCACTTGGTTTGATAATTTTTTTTATAAAAGCTTATAATATTTACAAGAGACCAGTTGAGCCTAATTTGTGAATTTTTATTTGATTATATTAAATTTTTTAGTGCAAAATGCAGAAAAAGTTGCAATTTTGAAGAAAATGTATTCTCCTGTTCCAGTTAATAAATGTCACATAACAAAAACCTAGTTGAAAACAAATGTAAGGATCTCCCAAAACGAAAAAATTTACGCAAAAAAAAATTTTGAAATGTTATAAAAAAATGTTCACCAAAATAAATATACGTTTTTGGTTTTTAGTAAAAATTGGTTGAAATATTAAGGCAATTTTGAACCACTGTGGTCGCGCAGAATAAATTACGGTCAACGTATTTTGGCGAAGTCCTTGAAAAGGGTTTGGCTTTATTTTTCGCTACAGCAGGGAAACTTGTACAATTACATAACATACTTAACTGGTAAATATTTGATTTAAATTACGAAATTGGTAAAGTACTTTTATCATACAGGTGTTATGTATGTGCGTATTCCCAAATCATTTTGAAAAAATGTCCTTTATTTTACGTTGGTTAATAAGGTCACCGTACGTACTCATACGCCATGTGTGCACTTTTAATGAAAACATAAATTAGGATGGAAACATTTTCTAAAGAAATTGGTACGCATTTGCATTTTCATTTATCACAAATCAAAAGAATTAAAAAAAAAAATGTTTCCTTTTTAAATGTTTGCCCTGTTAAACGTTGCATTTTTTTCATTCCCAATGCAAAGTTAAAATGAAAATATCTTGCGAAAATGACCTGATCTAGAGAAACGGTATACAGGGCCCTAATCTATAACCAAACATTAAGTTTACGTGTTTCCAAGAATTTTGTGTCAATATTTCAAAAAATTAAACCCAGTTTGAAAAGAATTGAAGGTTCCAAATCTTTATGTAATATAAACCCCATAATTTTTAATACATAATAGTAAAAAAGTGGCAAGTATATCGGTGCACTAATACCACAGGATTTGATTTGAAATTCGGTCCAGCCACATTAGTGGCCCTTCCCTTTCTCGTCTATTCAACGCTCTTAAATGACCAGCGCAGATCTTAATTATTTAAAAATATCAAGCAACACCTTCCATTGTCGATTGTGCTTTTTTAATCCCTCAAATGAACTGAATAAAAACAAAACATTACAGTACAGTACCTACTTTTTTATTTTTTCTTCCAGCATATTTGCTATCATATTTACCAATGTTTTAGTGCGTTTATTTAATATTTTTATTATCTATATCTATATTTAATTCTTCGCGCTTATTTTTTTCGGCCCTGAATATGATATACTGGAAAAAGCTTTGAAAATAAATCGGTTTGTTCGATAAGAAAACATCCGGTTTATTCGATATTCGAAAACTCAAGATTTAGAAAACCTACCTATTGATATCCAAACGGTGGAAACTGGTTTGGAAAACCGAGTCAATCACCCTAATCGTTAATCACAAACATACGAAGAGAAGGATTAACCAGATCGCACGAATCGATCTCAAGAAATTTTGTCTGCATTAATTTTTTGAGAATTTAGTGAAAATATTTTTACGAGTAATTTATTTCTTTATAGTGACTGTTTAAATATTGCACTATTTGAGTGTAGAGCACATTTATTCACTACCACAATTTAGTTATTTTGAAACAAAGTAGCACTATCAATATAATTTTAGTGGCACTTTCACTAACCTTGTGTTAAATAGGGAAAAATATAATTTCTTCGTAGTGACTTCAAAATTCATAGCACTACCCCCAACTCTGCCACATACTATGTAATCAATGACCTACTTACTCTAACACTCACCGCATATCTAAACAAAACTCTCTCCGTTCAACGCCACCCATATTTGAACACGTTAAGAACTGCTTAGCAACAATCATTTGTTATTCGTGGTAATTCAAACTTACCTGCAAAAAGTCCAAACGTTGCAGAAAATCAGTAATATAGCTCCCCAGTGGCTTTAGGCTGGGATAAGACTTGCCAGCCCACATCCCTGGAATTTTGCTTATCAATACGCTACGGTACACAGCCTCAATAGGGGCGGACATCACAACCAGACCTACATCACAAAAAGGTAAATACAATAAAAGCCTATAATAAAATATTTTATGTTTCAGCTAAGCAATATGTAAGTATATAAAGATAAACTGAATCAGTAGCGCGTGCAGAATAAAAGCAAACATGACAGCGCAACAAATACATATGTAAATTGAATTCATTTATTGTAGGGGTATTTAAAAAAGGAATATGAAAAAATCGATTTTTAAACATACACACATAAAGCGTTTTGATCCACTTCGCTGTGATTCCCAACGGATGCATAAACTAAATTTCAATACGGTCTGAATTTCAAAAGTGTATTGAATTTGATTTCAAATCGGTTTTTTATTTCTCACATCGCACACAAGGCAAAAGTGACGATTTCGCTGGACAAAAATAATGAACTAATAACATTGATTTGGGGTGTGGGAAATCAATATTTTAACTATGATGGTTTAAAACCATTTAAGCAAAAATAACAGCATTAATAAAATGTAAATTTACCGACCCCTGCGAAGAATTGTTTGATATGGAACATGATGTTTACATTTTGATATTTACATGAAATAATTAACCGTAACAGAAAAATATTGTACAGGTTGACCTTGGACAATTAGCAAATTAGAAATTGTGGGATTCATCGTTTCGCTTTTGTATTTTTAAATTTTTTATTTGTCCATCAGCTGATGCGAATAGATTATTTTGTAGCTGTAAACAAAATACAAATACTCCTAAATTTTTGTGAGGGCTTTCTAAAATGGGGTATTTTTAAGGGGTACTTTTTTATCATCTACGGAATAACTATTTTCCAGTTAATAGTATAGAAATTTTTAAATAGCTACAATTTTAAAACTAATGAAAAAATTAAAACTTACTTGCAAATAGTCCATCTTGAATATAAAAATAATTTTAAAAAGTAAGAAAGCCTAATTTCGGGCGGAGCCGAACATTAAATACCCGGCGCAAGTATTAAATATATGATTTTCACCTTTCCGAAATCTATCGCTACATGGTAAGCCGGGGTGTATCAATTTTGAGTAAATTAGTGTCCTTAAATTTCGAAATATTGAAGTTTCAAGCATATCTGAAATTTACCGTTATATAAAAATCAATCTCAATTTTAGTCCAATTTCAATAATTTTCAATCGTTTGCTCTTATGTGACAAGCACAATAACCATACCGAGTTTGGTACAAATTGGTAGAACGGTTACCGAGATACATATATGTGATCATAAGTGGGCGGTGCTACGCCCATTTTCCAAAAAGTTATAATATTCTTATTTTCCGTCTAAAACTTATTGCAAATATCAATTTTGAGTGAATAATCTTCAGTTGTTACTAAAATATCGCAGTTTTCGTATTTCTGAAAATTACCGTTATATGGGAGGTAGG